TTGTAAAAGACATCTTTTTATGAGTTCCTCTTTTGTTAAACTCCGGAGTAACTTTTTTCTTATAGCTGGTATAGATCACAAGTAGAATCTACCCTCTAGTGGCCAAAAGCAACATGAGAAAAAGACATAAGACAAGGCTAAAAAATTATCAAGAGATGGATTTTTTTTTTCATGAGACTAGTTTGTAACCTAATTCTGAAGGCAGTGCCAAGAGAAGACGTTTAGAAATGTACAGATCAACATGATTAGAAAAATTCCTCAAATGACGGACACATTTAAGGTCAAATGCCTTTAGACATACAAGTGGTTCTGTTAAAGCAGGTTCTCTGTTGAGTCCCCTTGGTTCTCATACCTTCATAAGCACAGTCACGATTCCGCTGTCATCTACAATAGAGTCTCTAGTTTGTGCTTACGAGATTTTTTGAAGAAGAATGCTAACTATTTATAAGGATGTAACTCAGAATAGTGGTTGCTTGCTTTTCTACCATATATTTAGGAAGTTTTTCTTTCTAATATGAATTAAGTATAATTTATATTCTTAATAAATCTAGAGAAGTTTCAGGATTTTTAATATCTTCAACGTTTTTCTTTTCTACATATTAAAGGGTACACTTCTTTTGAAAAGCATTTTCTCTGTGAGTACCTCTTACTGTGATAGCTATTTTTTGTGTCTTAAAAAGTCTCCTCTAATAAGACTAGCCCTTCCCCTTTATAGACTATAAGAATTGTCCTCATCTTCCCTCCTAAAAAAAAATTCTTAATAAAGTTAGGCTTTTTCTAATCTTACTTTTTCTCTTACTGTCCAGTCAGATATTAGACATAGAACATGGTTATCATTTCCCTCATAATTGGCAACATGATTGTAGAGTTGTGATACCACAAATAAAATACCCATAGAGCATGGATGATATTATCCCTTTGTATTACACAAATGACATATTTACATTGTGGAAAATTAGAAGCCATGAACATACATATTTAAATTTATAAAATAATCCTTTAACAAAATCATTGTCAATTTTGGAAAATACTTTCCCAGGCATTTTGATTCATATTTGTATAAAACAGACATTTGTAAAGAAAAGAACTCATCTGTGTTTATGGATGCAAAGGTTATTCTGCCCTCTGATTCTATTTTTCTAGCAAATTCATTTGACCCAATTTGATCAGGTGTCTTCTATATTCATCAACATGCAGGCTAAGGAATGGGTAGGAGAAAGGACTGTTGTTAAGCAAATAGTACAGATTTGAGGACTAGATATTGATTGGTGAGTCAAAGTTTTACTGTGAAGCAGGAAACCAGATCCAGCCCAGAGGTTAGCCTCAGGGGATGAGGCTATGGAAAAGGGTAGGTTTTTAAAAAGCCAAGCATAGAAAGACTATTTTGTGTTAGAAAAATCCAGATCATTTAGTTACTGGTTAGTGAAATCTGGGCTAATCAACCAGGCACCATGGAAGCGCTGGGCTGGTGCTGTTTGTGTTTCTCCGGTAAGTGGTCTTTGCTGTCCACGTGAAACAGTGGCTCAGGGCAGTGGCATGCTTCCGGGCGTGATGCTCAGGGCCTTTGGTGTATGTGTTGCAAGTGCCTATTTCAGAAGTCTGGTACCCACATTGTCTTTTTAAATCATGTTTGCATTGCAGGCCTGGTGACCACATGTCATATTTATTAGGTACTTATTAAGTGCCTGGCATTGTGCTAAGATGTTTTCCTGGTGTCACCACCTCATCTGCATGTTCCCCTGAGGGAGGAGCAAGAGCCCTTCCTTTCATAAGTGCCTTTCGTTGCCTTAAGTGCCCACGAGTCACCTTGATGGAAGATGTGACACACGGGCATTGGTCTGCAGCTGGACACCTGATGGTGCAGAACTGCCCACCAGACACACTGTCAGTACTGGGCCACACAAAGTGTTTAATGAGAAGAAAATGGTGTCAAATACATTTTATTTTCATAAAGGGTAACTTGAGGAGCAAGAACCCTGCAGTCTCTCAAACTATCAAATTATGCTCCACCCATGGCCCCACCATCTTGGTGACACTCCAAGGGCAGTGCCCAAGGTCGTCATCACACCAGGCAGGACAAGACTCTGCGGGGGACCCAACATTCCTGCCAGGGACCCTGCTCTCTGCCCACTGTAACTCTGTCACGTTCTGGACCGGTTTCTCTTTCTATCTTTTGTGGCTTTTCTCTGTGTGTCTTTTTTTGTTTGTTTCTTTTTCTTTCTTTCTTTCTTTTTTTTTTCTGTTTCCATCTTGACACCTCTGGTTCTTTGTCTCCTTCTTCCTCTCTCTCCTTCTCCCATGTTCTCCCCTCTCTCTCCTGTCTCTTCCCTTCTCCCCTCCCTCCACCTCTGACTTCTCATGCCGTCTTATGTATAATCTTTCTTTTTAAACTATGGCACAATTTGATCTCTAGTGCTTGGTAATGTAGTCAGAATCCAGCAAATACTCATTAAAGTGGACTGATGTTTTTTTCTTCAAAATACTTCCGTTTTCCTGGGAGAAGCTGTTAGTTCCTTTTGTTCAGTTAAGGTCTCCTTCTCCTAGAAGCGATTCCACACCCTTTTCCACTCTATCTCCCCAGCCCAGCCCCACCCTACTAATGAGATTTGTATTTGAAAGTGCCTAGAAGAGAAATTGGCCCATACAAGGAAGCTCAGTAAGTGTCAATCCCTCCAGTCCTCTGAAGCAAATTGCAGTATCTCTGTAAAAGACAAGCTGGGGACCTGGACCGCCCCTGCCTCCCCCTCTCCCCCTTCTCATCCCTCAGGTCCTAGTTATTACCAAGTGTTTCTGGCTGCTTTGTAAGTGGCTCTTGAGATGTACATTCCAGCTGGCCCCGCCACCACCCTCATGCCAGCGTGACTTCCCAGGACAATCGCAGCAGCGTCACCACTGGCTTCTCTATGTTGATTCTTGCAGGTCTTACCCCAGTCTCCAAAAGGTGATCTGGAGTGATCTTTCTGCAATACAAATCTGGTTTTGTCCCCCCACCTTCAAGCCCATTAGAGGCATCAGCAGGCCTGGCTCCTGCCTGCTCTCGTTTCTCTCCTGCCTGTGCTTCCCGAGGCCCCAGCCCTTCTCCAGAATGAGCCATGAGCTGTGCTCCCCCCATTGTGGGTCTTTTGCTTTTCCTGCTTGAATTTTTTCATTGCTCTTCTGCACACTCTCAGCTTGCTGTCCCCGCTCAGGGCAGCCTCTCGAGGGCATGGCTGGCTGTCCTGCTTCTCTCACCACCCGGAACCCCACTCCCCTTTGTTGTGGCCCGTTTGCAGGATGGAGGATGAACACAGAACATAAAACACAAATGCAGAACACAAAGAAAAACGCAGACACACATTCAAGTCAACAAGTCACATACGGTTGACTCGAGTAATAATACACTGGGTCCGTTTTATTTTTATACTCTAAAAGATTAAAGTTAGTTCCTTGTACATAACCACCCAGGCGTGGCAGCGATAGCTGTAAATTCTGGAATAGCCTTAGGGAAGCAGATATCCCCTGACTCAGAATTTCAAGGTGGTTGCTCTAGGCACTAGGCATAGATAAAGAACCGAGATTAGCAAGGATGGGCAAGGTGAGCCACAGGGGGCATTTCTCATCCCCAGCTTCTCTTAGGGTGACCCCCTAGGATCTTTGGCCGAACCCCGGAGGCTTTGCCTGGCTTAGGTTGCCCCTCCCTTGAGGGGTCTTACCTGTCATTGACTAACTAGCCATCTTATGGGGTGTACACAGCAATCACAGGAATAATATGTTTATCATGTGGCCTCCAGACCCCCAATGCTGTGGGGTGGGGCTGCTCTTGCTAGTTGCAGCTTAGGTCCTTTGTTATGCCTCTAGGCAACACCTTTGTTTATCACAGGGAGCCTGTCCAGAACAGATTACTTTCAAAGGCTCTGGGCAGAACACTACATTACTCACTAACTTTAATTCTTAAACTAGGAAAATATATGTCAGTCCCCTACACCCCTTGTAGCTCACTTTCTCAGTTATGATTTTCTGTCCATTCGGATGATTGATTGATGTCAATTGTTGTGAGTGTCCCAGCAGAGGCACTGAGTCTGTTTTTCTCACCATACAGCCCCAGTAACTAGCACAGTGCCTGACACACAGTAGGCAGTTAATAACTATTGTTGACTTAAAGAATGAATCAATCGAGGGGGGAGATATGAGACACAGAGAATTGCCAACCTTCCCCAGGTGGCCATTAAAGGTGGCGAGTCTCTGCAAAGACAGGGAATGCAAACTCATAGCACGAACAGTTAGGATGTGATGTAAAGTGGGCTCTTCACTGTCCCCTCCTCTCAGAAACCCAGGGAGGGAGGTGGGAATTTATAGATGGCTCAGTCATATATAAATAACAGGGAGGTTTTATAGTCTAAAGCTTTAATTTAGCTTCTGTCTTCAGCCTTTCCAATTTAATGTTTATAAGAACCACAGCAAATGGAAACATTGACTGATTTGGGTCTTTTGACATCTATTCATATTTTCTCTCCTGGCCAAGGTGCAATGAGCAATAAAAGGATAAGAAATTAAGGAGTAAAAGAAATGAGCACCTTCTGCAGCCACTGTCCTCCACACACCCGGGAATGCTCTGTGTTTGCTTACACAACTGCCTCCACGTACACACATATTTCTTGCTTTAGTGTGTGTGTGTGTGTGTAACAGAAGCATAATTGCTCAGATACCAACATCTGCAGTTTCTTCTAGAACAAGAGCGTCTGAATGTTTAATAGGATTAATGTGAGCAGGGATGCTTGCCTATGTATTTTTTCTGTTCTGCAATCGATTTCTATTGTGAGCCCACCAGCAAAGAGAGAGACTGACACACACACACACACACACACACACACACACACACACACACACACACACACAGAGTTTCCCTTGAAACAAAGCTCCGCACAGTAAAACGGATGCATTGCCTGACATTCCACAGCATTGAAGGGCTCTGTGACCACCAGTGAGTTTAGCCAGAATCCGAAAGCGCCCAGACAATCATGTTAATATAATAGGATTATTTTCTCCACATCTGTAACTGCCATGGGCGAGGTGAGATATTTGATCTCCAGGGAACTGGCCTAGACTTGAATCAGGGAGTCCTGGGTGTTCACATTTTATCCACTCGTGCTGAAAAGAGGGAAAACATCCTTTGAGTTGCAACACACCCTTAAAGGAACTGCTCCCCACAGCCCACACTTACTTCAGCCTGACTGTAATGTTAAAAAAAACAAAAACAAAAAACAAATCCCAAACACTTGAATCCGCTGTTGCCCTGGCGCAGTCTGCACCACGTGGGCAGGCGGGCAGGCGGCGCGCCCTCGCCCTGGCTGTCCTGAGCACGGCGCCCTGGGTTCGTGGTCTGGGTCCTGCCAGCCCTCCTTCTCTGAGGCAGCAGGAAGCACAAACAGCCGTCTGGAGGCTATACAGACGCTCGGGTGCCGGGAATTTGTTGCACAAAGTGTGAAAGCCATCTGGCGACAGCCAGAGTCTTACAGTTTGGGCTTTTTTGGAGTGCGACGATGACGGGATGGATGAGGGGAGGAAAGAGCTCCCTGAGTGAACACAGTTGGGGACGGAGCTGGTGGGTCTCACAGTGACATGTGAGTGGTGTTGTCTTGAGACAGTGTTGAGAGAGGAGGCCACGGATGAGGCAATGGCAGGCCCTGCCCCGCCTTTCCCTGGGGAGATGAAATCAAGGGCCTCTTAACCCCGGGAGGCAGCGAGGTGCCCCGTTCCGGAGCAGCTCCGACTCTGGGCAGAGTCCTGGCTCCACCATGCCTCCGCTGAGCAAGTCAGCTGTGTGTCTGACGGAGGACTCTGATTCTAGGTGTTAGGGAGCGAATTATGTCCCCCCAGATCCATATGTTGAAGTTCTAACCACCGATGTCTTTGGAGACGGCCCCTTAAAGCTGCAGTCCCCAACCCCAGTACTGGTCCAAGGCTTGTTAGGAACAGGGCTGTGTATCCCCCTCTGAGCTCAGTCCCCTCCTCCCCCCAACGTCTGTGGAAAAATTGTCTTCCATGACACTGGTCCTTGGTGCCAAAAAGGTTGGGGACCGCTGCTTTAAAGAGGTAATTAAAGTTCAATGAGGTCATAAGGGTGGGGCTCTAGTATAGTAGCACCCGTGTCCTTACAAGAAGAGGAAACACACCAGGAGTGGTCACACAGAGAAAAAAGGCCACTCAAGGACACAACAGGAAGGTGGCCTCTGCCAGCCAAGGAGAGAGGCCTCAGGAGAAACCAAACCTGCTGATGCTTTGATTTTGAACTTCCAGCCTCCAGAACCGTGTTGTTTAACGCTATGAATCTGTGGCATTTTGTTATGGTAGTCTCAGCAAACTAACACACTGAGCGGTGCGATTTTGGGACAACATGGGAAAGTAGGAAGCACATGCGGGATCCATGATGTGGGATTCTTGGGCAAATTTCTTTACCTTTCTGACTCTTAATTCCTCATCTGTAAATTGGGTCTATTCATGCCCATGGCTTTGGGTTTTCATGAGGATTAAACAAGTTAACACACACAAAGGGCCTGGCACAAAGCAGCTGCCACTAACTTACTGCTAGACTGGAAGCTCCTCTCAGAAGGAGATCTTGTTTTTCAGCTTTGTACTCGGGGGCCCCCAGGAGCTCCTGGAACACCATAGGCACATTTTAAAGTGTGTTGAATTAATTAATAGCATTTTGGGTGCTGATTCAATAGCTATTGTTTGTGTAGCTTTTCTGTAACAGATGCTGCACGCACTGCTGTGAACACTGTAGTTGCAGCCTCTACCTTCAAGCTTATCCTCCAGAGGAGGAAGAGGAATGACAATCAAGTAAAGAACTGAGGAAATCAACTGTGTTGCGATGAGAAACCGGTGTGAAGAGCCACTTCACACAGCATTGTCAGAAAACTATCTAAAGAAGTGAATTTTGTTTTTCTTTCTTCCTTGTTTTGTTTTTCTGTTACAAGTGTTCTTTATGGGTGACTTAAGTTCACTAGAGCTGTTGCTCTCATGAGATAATTTTCCAAAATGATGAACAACTCTTAGTATAGTCTTCTATCGATTTATCCAGTAGCACATTCCAGGAAAACTCAGTATATCTTAAAACTGGGCTGCGCATGTAAGGCAGTTAGGTTTTAGTCTTGGAAAGTTATAAACAGGGTTTTCAGATACATGAATGTCCAGTGGGAAAATTCAAAGTTGTGAAGAGTGATGGACCATTCTTTATTGTGCAGGAATATCCTGGAAAATTGCAAAATGTTTCATATCTGTGACATCACCTGTCCCCCTGGGACTAAATTCCAGTAGAATCTTCTAATCATTGTGGTAAGAACCCTTCCCACTTCTAATTTCCAAAATATCCTGTAAGAGGCAGTACAAGTCCCATTAAGACACAAGGTTTTGAGGATCTGCTGTGATGCCCTAATCTTCTAATCCCGTTGTCATTCTCGTTATTTAGAGCCTTTGACATGAATTAGCCTTTCTTGACTTCCTTTCCTCCCTTGGCTTCCATGACACTGTGTGCCTTGGGCTTTTCTCCCCTTTTCCACCAATACCTGTCCAGCATCCTGATCCGGTTCCTTGTCGTTCACCTGCCCACCTGTGCGGATCTGACCTTGGTCCCTGCTCTTTTCCCTTCTATTCTCTTCTTTGATGAAAACTTTAGTACCACCTTCAGACAACTAGTTCCCTAAGGGCTCTTTCTGTGCCCTGCACACCCATGTTTTCCAACTGCCAGCTGGACCTCTCAGAGTGAGCCCAAGTTAACCATGCCCAAAGTTAAACTGGTATTCCTCCTCCAAACCTGTTTTTCCTTTGGCCGTATCTCTTTGCGTCAATGACATTGTCCACTCACTCAGCTAAACATGGCGGCCCTGTCGACAGCTCCTTCTCGCTCCCTGCATCTGGTGGTGCTAGTCTGTGTCCCCTGCATCTGGTTGGTTGCTAGGCTGTGTCCCCTGCATCTGGTTGGTTGCTAGGCTGTGTCCCCTGCATCTGGTTGGTTGCTAGTCTGTGTCCTCTGCATCTGGTTGGTTTCTAGGCTGTGTCAATTCTTAAAGACGTGATTGGAGCTGATTATTCAGAAACTAGTCATGAAAGAAAAGTATTGATAAAATCGGTGCCCGGGAAGGGGGCATTCGGATCCCACCCTTCTCATCTTTTATTTTATTTTATTTTTTAAAAGTCTTTGGACTAGCCTAATTTTTTTTTTTTTCAGATCCTGGGCATACTGCCCTGAGCTAATTTGTTTGCCCGAATTAATTATCAGCAGGGGGTGACAGCCTCATTTTCACAGAAGCCTTCTCTTTTGGAAGGAATGCCTTTTTATTCCAACAGTCCGATTTAGGTTCCTTGGCATTGAGTGTAAAGGGTGCCTTGACATTTCCATAAAGGCATTTAAATGTTACCGTTTCTGAAGAAACAGTTTTAGAATACGAAACCTTTATCTTTTTTTTCCCCCAGGGAAGAGAAACATCACCAGCTTAATTATCTCTGTAAAATAACTTCCTCATTTGCTTTTCGTGGTGCTAGTGGAAAAAGATAATGATACTGTTTTCAAAAAATGAAGGCAATTATAGATGATGTCATGAAACTTGCTTTTGATTTTTGCCTATTTAAATAACACCTCAATTTAGAGGTCAAAGATGCATGTAGTATTATATATTATCTTTCTATGTTGATTGTTAAAAGATCTGCTAGGAGAGCAAATACAATTGAAAAGATGCTGCTGGTAATTTGTTACTCCATGCTAACCTCAAAACGGTTCTTATAATTAGGAGGAAAAGCCAAAAGATACTTAACTCTCTCTCTATATATAAATATATTTTATTGTGATGAAAAAACATACAACTTGAAATCTACCCTCTTAACAAATTTTTAAGTGCAATATTGTTTACCATATGCACAGTGTTGTAAAGCAGATATTTAAAACTTATTCATCTTGCATAATTGAAACTCTTTCCCCTTGAGTAGCAGCTCTCCATTTCTCCCTGCAGACCCTGGGCAACCATTATTCTACTTTCTTCTTCTATGAATTTGACTACAGGGTGTCCCAAAAGTCACCATACATAGGGAAGATGGGAAATTGTAGCTAAATGTACCTTAGTTATCTATGTATGGCAACTTTTGGGACACCCTGTATTTTGAACCTCTCATATAAGTAGAATCGTGCAGTATTTGTCCTTCTGTGACTGGCTTATTTTACCCAGAAAAACGTCCTGAAGGCTCATCCATGTTGTAGCAAATGACAGGATTTCCTTAATTTTCAAGGCTGTGTAAATTTTCAAGGCTGTGCACATTCCACTATGTGTAGGTACCACATTTTCTTTATCCATTTGTATGTCGATGAACATGTAGTTTGTTTCCATCTCTTGGCTATTGTGAATAATGTTGCATTGAATATGAAAGTGCTAATATTCGAGGTCCTGTTTTCAATTTTTTTGGATAAATACTCAGAAGTGGCTTGCTGAATCATTTGGTAGTTCTATTGTTAATTTTTTGAGGAACCACTAACTATCTCCCAAAGCCACCGCACTATTTTATATTCCCACCAACCATGTACAAGGGATCCAATTTCTCTACATCCTTGGTAACACTTGATATTTTCTGGGTTTTTAAATTTTGTTTTGTTTTTTAATAATTTAACAGGTATGCTGTGATATTTCATTGTAGTTTCAGTTGGCATCTCCCTGATGATTAGTGATGTTGATTAATGATGTTATTTTCATACACTTATTGGCCATTTGTATTGTCTTACACCATACATGAAAACCAACACAAGATAGATTAAAAACTTAAATGTAAGACCTCAAACTATGAAACTTCTAGCAGAAAACATTGGGGGAAAAGCTTCATAACATTGGTCTTAGCAATGATTTCTTAGCTATGACATCAAAAGCACAGGCAACCAAAGCAAAAACATCAAAGTAGCACCACATCAAACCAAAAAGCTTCTGTACAGCAAAAGAAACAACCCAAGAATGAAAAGGCAACCTATGGAATGGGAGAAAATATTTGCAAACCATATATTCGATCAGGGAGTTAATGCCCAAAACTCTAGTAAAAAGAAAGATTTTTCTATTTATTCTAGGTCAGAGTCATCAAACTTGTTCTGTTAAGGGCCAGTTAGTAAATGTTTAGGCTTTGCAGGCCACAGGGTCTCTGTTGCCCCTCCTCAGTCCGCTGTTGTAGTGTGTAAGTAGCCACAGACAATATGCAAATTGATGGGTGTGGCTGTGTCCCAATAAAACTTTATTTACAAAAATAGACTGGGATGCATTTGGCCTGTGACCATAGTTTGCCAACCTCTGATCTACAGCAGAGTTTAGCAACCTGGTTATAGTGGCACTTTTTGCTGGATAGTCTTTTGTCGTGGAGCTGTCCTGGGCATTGCAGGAGCGGTAGGTACTCTTTGCTCTACCCATGGGATGCCAGTAGCAACCCCTTCCCCCCACTCCTGTCGTGTCAACCAAAAATGTCTCCAAACATTGCTAGTGTGCTCCAGGGAACAAAATTGCTGCTAGTCAGAACCTCTTATCTAAATGATTGAAATCATCTGAACCAGTAATAGGAAATATTTCCCTAAAACTACAAAATGTTGGGTCAGATTGAAGAGTTGAAAATCATGGTATATTTTTCTTAGGTAGGTCAAGGTCTCCTCAAAGGGGCCATCATCACAACCTCAATTTGGAAAGCAGTTCAAAACCAGCTGAAATGGCAACAGCCGTGAAAAGTGCCCTGTTAATAATGCAAATATGAACGTAGCCTACTTTTGTGATGGGCCCAAGGGACAAAACAGTTCAACAGTGTTGGCACGTTCTAGTGGGACTTTCTGAGTCTGCGAGTCGGCTGTGAGTTGGAAAGGCTGGGGAAAGCTAGTAGTTCTAGTTCTTACTTGGGCAAGTGTTTATTTTTTCTGTTTATCTGCATTCAGAACTAACACAGGGTGATTTTTGAAAGCGCTCATATGTTTTTCATTGTTTGGACAGGGCCAGAGAAAAATGGCCTGATTTCACTGCAAATTGGCAGTTACACATGTTTTTGAAAGTTGAAAACAGCGTAACACTCACGAGTGAGTCTCAAAGAATGTTGTCTTCTTGTCCTTTAGAATAAACACCTGTTTTGCAAATGGCAGGATAAAAGCTATCTTTACCAGGAAATTGTTGTTTTCTTTTTTTTTCTTCATTTGTATAATTAAATTTTTAATAAATAAGAAATTTAAGTATGATTTAAAATATTGTAATTTATATAATCATATTTTTAAACAAGCAACAACAACAACAACAAAAAAGCCAAACCCACATTTCATCAGGGATTTCAGTTAAGCCCTTTGGACTAATTTTCTTTTCTGACTTGAAAAGCAAAAAAGAAATATATTAATGCTTTTCTTCTTTAATAAAATTTTCTTTAGTGAAATGTATTTTTCTAATTGATATGAAGGAAAAGCAAGGTTCTTGTGCTTGGAAGGAGCTGTCTGCTACTCCCTGGCTATAAATCCTGCCAGGCTCACTGTGTGCAGTGGCCACAGCAGCCACACTCAGTGGCCAGGTCTCTCTGGCGCAGGAACCGCTGGACACTTGACGATGAGACCATCTGGTGGATAAATGGGATCAACTCCTTTTATACTTGGGGTCATGAAAAAATGTGGTACGAACAGGCTCTTTCTTCGGAGCCTTCCCTCAAATCCACGATTCAAGATTTTCCCAGGAGGCCCAGCTCCTGAAATCCTGCCTGCCTGTGCTGTACTTTCCGATGAGTATCCAGCCGCCTTCCTCGCGGGCTGGGCAGGGTGGGTGTTAAACGGGACGCATTTCACAGCAGGCCTTTCTGTCTGTCCTCAGGCTACCACGGCCTCTACTGTGAAGAGGAGTACAACGAGTGCCTCTCCGCCCCGTGCCTGAATGCCGCCACCTGCAGGGACCTGGTGAACGGCTATGAGTGTGTATGCCTGGCGGAATACAAAGGTAAGAGAGGCCCTGCCTGGCCTTCTGGTGCCAGAGTGCCAGAGTGGCTCTAAATGACATCACGGATTTCTGAACTGTATAAACCTCTAATTGGAGCATGCATTTGTTTGGAATAAAAGTCAAACGCTGAAGCTGGGGTGATTAATGGGTCCAAGGAGACCAATTTGCCAGGCTCAGGTTTCCTCCAGATAGATTGAAAAATTTCTCTCCTGCCCTTTTTCCTTCTTCTTGTACCCTCACTCTCTTTTCTGTTGAATGTGTAAGAAGCTGGAAACAAAAGGCGGTATGAAGGTGGGCTGTCAGGCGCAGGGCAGAGGCCATGGCTGTGGAAGATTTGGAAGAGGAAAGCCTGGCGCTCTAGGAAGCTTGCCGGGTGAGGATGGGACCCTGCGCTTTCTGGGGGAGGAGGCAGGTGGTGCCAAAGAAGTTAGCTCGCATTACGTGACTCTGTCGGGAGGGAAATGTTAGTTCATTTGGATGGACGAGTGTCAAGTGTCACTGTGGAAAAACGGCTGACGTTGGCAGAGCCTTTCTAACGTGCAGCCCCTGTTCTCTCTGCTAATGTGCATCAGCTCATTAAATCCTCCCAGCAGCCGCACGAGGTGGGCGGTAGTGCTGGCCCCCACGGCCTGGTCGGCGCGGTTCCCAGGGCCCTTTCTCCCTGCCTCTCCGCTGGCCTCTGGCCGTGGTTCGTGGGCATCGTGGCTTCGTCGAGCCCGGTCACCCTCAGACGGGGCTGTGCCAGGAGAGTCTGCTTATCAGCTGTTGCACACATTTCTCTAAGCCCTAAATTCAGGCAGAGTTGAGACTCTGTAATGCTTTTGTGGGCTCTATTTATAGCCATTTCGCTTAGCCTCTTGCTCCCAACACTGCCTACTTGATACCATCCGCCTGCCTGGTGACCTTGCATTGTGACCGCTGTGGCTTCTCTTTGGATAGACCCACCTTTATTTGGTGACCTTTTGGACAAGCTTTGAGGCCTTATAGGCCATACTGAGGAAGCTGATCAACCCCTGTGGAAGGAAGGGCTGACGCCAGGCCAAATCTTTCCTTTATGCCCAGCAGCTCAGGTGCTTCTTTTGGACTGTGCTGCTCATGTAGAACTAAACTCCACTGATTTCCACAAGGGTCTGAGAGCAGACGTGCTGGCTTCATCCTTGTGGTTTGTTTCTCAGTTCCGGGTCTATCAGAGCATTGGGAAATAGGGAGTTAGTTCAATTCTGGAAGGAAGAATAAAGGAGCAGTGAATCAGAATACCTGGGGAACTTATTCTGATTGCGCCACTGGCTTCCTGCTGAGCCCAGACCAATCTCTCAAACTGACTGTTTTCATGTTCTCTGTATGAATTAAGGACAACGATACTTACAGAGATTTTTGAGATTTGTTCAATAATAACAGAGTTAGTAATGGCAATTGCGCTTCAAAAATTAAAAATGCCAAAATTCTTTATCATAAATTTTATGAAGCAGATTTCATCTTTATAAATGACAAAATTATTAGCTGGATATATTCTGAATAATGCCTCTTACTTTTCTATCTGTGAACCTTTGCTCCTGCTGTCATTACTAAGGAATGAAAAATATCATTGCAGATGATGACTCACTAGTATCTTTGCACATTCATAAGACTATGATCCTAGCCATTTTCTTCCCTTTTTCTCAATGGGTATTTCAAAATTTTGCTACTTCTCCCAAGCCACATATTGAATCACTCACTCCTACAATATAACTGACTTCCTCTGCATCTTCATGAGATAAAAAAGAGTTATCATTTGTAGATGTCTTTGAACTTATCTAATTTTCCACACCCCGAAGCAGTGGTTCTTAAATGTGAACGTGCGTCAGAATCTGTTGGTAGGCTTGTTAAAATAGATTACCGGGACCCATCTTAACAGCTTCTAATTCACTAGGTCTGGGGTGGGACCAAAGAATCTGAATTTCTGGTAAGTTCTCAGGTAATACTGATGTGCTGGTCCATGGGATTCTCAAAGAGTCCCTTTGAGAACTCTTGCCCTACAAACTTATTTTCAGCCACAGCCACTACAGCTTTATTCTCTTCTGTGTTAGCTGATCATGTTTTCCCCATCCTACTCAAAGCTAATCCTTTCCGATATGCTCTCAATTCTCCACCCTCCATCTTTCTGAGACCTTTCTCTAGCCGTTACCTTTCTCCCTGCATATCTTCAACCTCTTACTTTCCTCTTGCTCCTCTTCAGATTCCTACCTTCTGGCCCAGCTGGGACAGTGAGCCCGTGCCAGCAACTCAAAGAGGCAGAAAAGTTTTAGGAAATAAAAGCAAAATTGCAACAACAACTCTAAATACTCAAGAGAGAAGTGAAAAAAGTAATGTATACTGCTCCAAATTGAATTTGGAACAGGAAAGGCAGAAGGAGGAACTATCTCATGATAGACATGGAAATATGAGGAAATGGAAACCACGAGTGAAAAGATAGGAAATGCGGAGCAAGGAGCAGAGAGATCTGTTTCCGTCTGAGCAGAGAGTGCTCCAGAAGAAGGAGCACATGGAAATAAAACCAGAATCAACTAATTGCTGGAAGGAAAAGAAAGTCTCACTTTCAAATAGAATGAGCTCACAGGGCAGCAGAGGGATCAATGAAGGAGAGGATACACACTTTGAGCTTTCCTGGTAAAATTTTTAGCTGCAAAGATAAAGAGAAAATTTTATAAGATTCTTCACGGGCAGTACAGGTTACATAAAAAAGAAAGAACGTCAGACCAGCTTTGTCCTGCTCGTCTCTATAGTGAAAGTAAACAATAGTTGAGCAATGCTTCAGACTTTTAAGTGGAAGATCTGGGAGTAAAAGGATCATTTGTATTTGAGGGCAAAAGAGAGACATTGCTATACGTTCAAGGACTCAGAAATGATAACACCACACACCTTCTCTAAGATAATCATTTAAATAGGTGTGCTCACCATTAAATAGGAACGAAGTCAGAATGAAGATACCTGGATGGGAAAGATGGAGAATGGGAGTGAGGGTTGGGCAGACTTCGTTAAATGCATAAATACATGACACTAATATGACTATGAATGATAATTTCATGGTGAAGGAAAGTCTCTTGAAAAAATAGGTATACCTGCCTTATGAGTTATCCATTGCTGCATAACAAATTATTACATGTTAGTAGCTTAAAACAACACCCTTTTATTATCTATCAGGTTCATAGGTCCAGGAATGGCTTAATGGATTCCAGGCTCAGGCTCCCACGAGGTTGAAGCAAAGTGCTGGCTGGGCTGAGCTTCATCTGGGGCTCGAATAGTGAAGGAGCAACTTCCAAGTCCCCTCAGGTTATTGGCAGGATTCACATGCCTGTGGCCATAGAATTCATGGCAGCCTGCTTCTTCATGGCCAACAACCATGACAGAGCCCCCGCTGCTTCATGTCTCTAACCTCAGGAAACGCCTGGACCCTCTTACTGGACTCACCTGATTAGGTTGGTCTTACTTAGGATGAACTCGGAGTGAACTGAGTAGAGACCTTCATTACATCTTTAAAAACCTCTAAACTGCCATATATTCTTGGTTAGAAGCTCATACTAAGGGACAGGAATTACACATGGATATGACTCACTGAGGGGGGGGTCCGCCTATGGCAGGTGTCCTCAAACTACGGCCTGCGGGCTACATGTGGCCCCCCTGAGGACATTTATCAGGCCCACCGGGTGTTTTTGCCACCTGCTGCCTGTCCTGCTTAGCAGCTGAATCGTCCCAGGCCCACAGTGCGCATGTGTGGAATGTGCGCTGCACTCTCCAATGGTCTGAGGGACAGTGAACTGGCCCCCTGTTTTAAAAGTTTGAGGACCCCTGCCCTATGGAGTGTCCAACACTTCTGCTCTCAAGGAAAAATTAAAACAACCAAACTAGTTCATATTATTTTACACTCATATTATTTGAACTGGAAGGGGGTGGGGGATGGTGAGGATTGGAAAGCATACAAATGTGTTAAAGCTTTCATCCCAATGGGCAGGTAAAATGTTTATTTAATTTTAGTATATTTTACAAAGACATTTAGGTTTAGGTTTAAATAAGGCTGCTGAGCACAGGAAGGCAAACCCCATCAATGTAGCAGTAAATGGTAGAATGTCTACGAGTGGTGGGAGGCAGGTAGGGTAGGTAGAAGGAACAAAAAAAGACAGAAGGAACTAGATCCTGCTCTCCAGGACAGAGGAAGAGTGAGGGGAGGGGAGAGCCACAAGATCCTGTGATTTTCTCTCCTTAGGGGGATGGACATTCTCCCCCCTTTGGAAGCATTTCTGCCAACACATATTTAGATATAGAATGTCTATGTAAATTTAGGAAACTATCAGAGGGGTAGGTATCCATTCCTAAATAAACTAGTTTGTATCTGGAGTTAGCACTTGGATAATGGGTACTGTGTTATGAGTAGGGTGGGCTTTAACTTTTTACTTTACATATGTAGTTTTTAAATGGTGATTTCTACTATTTCACGTTTTTTAAAAAAAACTTAAATAAATACAACCTCCTAAGAGTAAGTGCAAGAGGAAGTCAGGCAATTATAGCTAAGAACATTTTGAATAAGGAAAGCAGTGAGAGGAATGTCAGAACCTTCTGCCGGATGTCAGAACCCATTATAATGCCACAGTTATTATGACATCCACACATTACAGGTGGAAGGATGGACGGACAATCAAAACTGAAGAATAGCCCCCAAACCATTATCTGTAATAATAATGTGTGACTCTTAAAGAGGAATTACTATGAATAAGAAAAGAATTATTTTTAAATAAATGGTGCTAAAAAATTGGGCTGTTAAACAGAAAAATAATGCTTATGCTTTTAAATAAATTCCATGTGAATAATAATTGAAAACCCTCTTCTTTGGCTTTGTGTCCTCCTTTACTTACTCCAAGTCTTTTCTTTCCTGCCTTTTTTTTTTTTTATCAACCAAATTTCCTGAGAGTTGGAACAGACAGCACATCTATTTCCTTAATTTTTTTTCTTCTCTTAACACTCTTCTC